CCAACAAAGGACTAACATCCAGAATCTACAAAAAACTCAAACAAATCAGCAAAAAAAAAAAGGAATACCATCAAAAAGTGGGAAAAGGACATGAGTAGACAATTTTTGAGTACTCGGTCAAAAATCTGTTTATCATTTCATCGACTGTAAACTCTGCAAGACAAGACCATGTTTGCCTTGTCTACCACTGTATCCCTGGGCACCTGGCACAGTACCCACTACACTGTTCAATGCAAACTGGGGGAAAGGATAAATGGAAAGGCTACAATGGACAGCAGAAGTTCTACACTGTTATCTGGAGAGCAGTTAGTCCAGCCTCTGCTTCTAATATGACGCCGATGGCTGGTGAAACAAAGAGAAAAGTAACAGGCCCAACTTTTTACTGTGTGATCTGAAGGCCAACTACAGGATAGGGTAGCGCAGAGGAGGGAACAGGAAGCAGAAGATAAGATACTGCTTCAAAGAGGAAGTAGAGCTGAGTACAGCACAATGATCAAGTCCCGGTCCCAGTAACTTCTCCACCCTGAACCCCTCGTGTTGTCAAGTTCTGTTCCCCTGAAAACTATCAGGCAGGAGATTCAAACTCTGCTCCACTGCCTGCTTAAAAAAAGGCTGCAAAATACATAAAATTGGCCGGGGGCAGTGGCTCACACCTGTTAATCCCAGCACTCTGGGAGGCCAAGGCAGGCAGATCACGAGGTCAAGAGATCGAGACCATCCTGGCCAATAAAGTGAAACTGGCCTCTACTAAAAATACAAAAATTAGCTGGGCATGGTGTGGGTGCCTGTAATCCCAGACACTCAGGAGGCTGAGGCAGGAGAATCACTTGAACCTGGGAGGTGGAGGCTGTGGTGTCCCCAGATCACACCATTGCACTCCTGCGTGGCGACAGAGCGAGGCTCCATCTCAAAAAACAAAAAACCCATAAAATTATTATCTAGTTCAGTAGTCATGTACTCTAAAGGTAATGAAAGACTTCTCAAATGGACACTATTGCATCAGGTTTTTTGAAGAAAGTTACCCAACTGAGAAAACTATGTGCTTGTTCTCCACATTGAACCAAAGTTCCGCTCTCCTGAAAACCATTCAGCAGTACAGTTCAAACTCTGCTCCACTGCCTGCTTTTAAAAAAGGCTGTAAAAATACATAAAATTGTCACCTAGTCCAGTAGTCATACTCCAAAGGCAGTGAAAGAGCATATGTGTATGTACCTTGTCCATCGCCAGCCCTGCTTAAAAGTCATAATTCTGCACTCTTATATACTCATTGGTATGAGTATATAAAGCACTCATTGGTACCTGCAGGTACTCAGCTGTACTTGCTGTTACTCTGTCAAAGGTTCTTAAAAGCAGGCTCATGTGTGTAGACCTCATCTGTCCAACTAGATCTTAGGCCTTCTGAAGGCAGAAAATATCATCTGTTGTTCTCAAATGCAATGTTTTTCAGTACTGAGTAGAGAGGAGAGGCTCTTCAAACATGAAATAGGACTGAATAGAACATTTCATGTACTAATGCTCATCAGGTAAATTTGTTGAGACCTATAGGACCTGAAGAAAATGGGACCAGGCCTAAATGACATTGGGAAGAAAAGACCATCTCCATTTTGCCACGAAAACAAGTCTTACCTGTGAGGGGGTTATCCTGCCCTTTTTAATTTCAGATGAATTTTCACTGAGTTTTCCTACTTTGTTACTTGAGCTGCATTTGTAGCACGTCCATCTTGTTTGGCCCTCAATTTCCATGGTGCATTCTTTGCTTTGCAGGCAGAATGAGTGATACAGGTGGCCACAGCTGTGAAATGAAGGCAACACGTCTGTACTTTTTATTATCACAAAATCCGTAAACATAAGCTTGTAAGTGTGCTTAGAGGCAAATAAGATCTCTAATAAGTAGAAATGCACTGATGTCTGCACAGGGTAAGAACAAGAAAGAAAATGCACATTTGCTGTCCCCTCTTCACAAAAATCCGAATTCATATATTTGTATACTTATGTTGTGAGTACGAACAGAATCACAGTTCTCGGACTACACATTACCTAGAGGATGAGATGAACTTCTGGTCATTTCTCAAACTATGAAATCTGGATAGCATTTTTAGATTTTTAGATAGTCTAAGAAAAAGGCAACTGAGGGCTGGGCATGGTGGCTCACGCCTGTAATACCAACCCTTTGGGAGGCTGAGGTGGACAGACCACGTGAGGTTAGGAGTTTGAGACCAGCCTGGGCAACATGGTGAAACCCCATGTCTACTAAAAATACAAAAAATTAGCTGTGCATGGTGGTATGTGCCTGTAATCTCAGCTACTTGGGAGGCTGAGGCAGGAGAATCACCTGAACCCAGGAGGCGGAGGTTGCAGTGAGTTGAGGTCACGCCCACTGCACTCCGGCCTGGGTGATAAGAACGAACCTCTTGTCTCAAAAAAACAAAAACAAAAAATTACCCAAAACCCAAAAATCAAAAAACAAAAAATTAGCCAGGCGTGGTGGTGCATGCCTGTAGTCCCAACCACTTGGGAGGCTGAGGCACGAGAACTGCTTGAACTCGGGAGGTGGCGGCTGCAGGGAGCAGACTGCACCATTGCACTCCAGCCTGGGAGACACAGTAAGACTCTGTCTCAAAAAAAGGCAGCTGGGAAAAATCATAATTATTTAAGTAGCTTGATAATAACATGAGTGGTCTGCTCATCAAATTCAAGGTAAAGGTTGTGATTTGATTAAACATTTACAAAAATGTCATTGCTATAGCAAATCTTTACACTATTCTTATAAAGAAATTCCCTACTGATTACACTAAATTACCAAATAAGCCTCCAGAAGTTGAGGACTGAGACTAATTCTCAGCCATCTACACTGATTTATCTTAATTTCTCTAACCTAAAATGTTGGGCATTTCAGAAATCAATCCTTTATCTTTCCTTCTTTTTTTGAGACAAGAGTTTTGCTCTTGTCACGGGCTGGAGTGCAGTGGTGCAATCTCGCTTCACTGCAACCTCCGCCTCCCAGGTTCAAGTGATCCTCCTGCCTCAGCCTCCTGAGTAGCTGGGATTACAGGCACACGCCACCACATCCGGCTATTTTTTTTTGTATTTTTAGTAGATACAGGGTTTCTTCATGTGGTCAGGCTGATCTTGAACTCCTGACCTCAGGTGATCTGTCCACCTCAGCCTCCCAAATTGCTGGCATTACAGGTGTGAGCCACTGCGCCTGGCTTAAGCGAGCGCACCCGCCAATCCTTTTCTTTTCTATAGTCTTTATACTCTTTTGTCTTCCCTTCTCTCTCTATATATCCATATCTATATATCTATCTATCTAGATACATATATAGATAC